GCAAAGGGGCTGGTAGGACTCAGCCTCTATCCTACCCCACAAATTCTCTCTTTCACACTATACACACACACACACACACTGCTTCCCTATACATTCACAGAAACAAACAATGTATCCCTACACACACAGAAACACACTGTGCTTCCCTTACACACAGAGAAACACACAATGCATCCATTACACACACACAATGCAACCCTTTACACAAATACAATGCATCCCTTGCATACATACACAGAAACACAATGCATCCCTTACACACAGAAACACGCAATACACCCCTTACACACACACACACAAACACACACGTATCCTACATATTAGTATTAGATATCGTCCCAGGGGATCTTAATATTGATAATCTCAACTTTTAAATATTGTGAGGAGGGGCGGGGCCTGACAGCCAAAATGGCTGGACGCACTTGCTAATAGCTCCGGCAGCAACTGGCACAATCTAAGCCCTAACATTGACTTACCAGGTACAATTTATCTAATCTGGGGGGCTGATCTGCAATCGAAGCGGCACAAAACGGTACCCGAATCTTGAAGCTCTGTCCACAGAAACTGGAGCCCGGCCTAGTCTGCAGAGTGACAAGCATGGAAGCCGCGGGAGAGACAGCCGCTCTCTCACGGCCACACCACGCCACAAACTTCAGCATGGGTCCCCGTTTCCCCTCCTGGACTGAAGAGGGTTATCCCGGTCTCCACCAACCCATGGCAAGCTGCAAAACAAGACCCGGCTACACCCTACAGCCTGAGCGACACGGCCAGCAGGCCACACACAATGTCGTCCGAGCCCCAGTGGCAGAAGCCCGCACTAACACACCATGGCGGCCAGGACAATAACCCGGTGGAGCACTACATCGAGCAACTGGACATAATCTTCCAAAGGTTTTGGAAATGTTTGGAACAACACAGCAGACAGGAGCAGTCTAATCCTGAGAGAGTGGTGAAGGGGGTTGAGGAATGGAGTTGGGGGAGGCCTCCATCGGCGAACCCCACAGAGCAGTTAACACTGTCCGTCCTAACCACCTTCCAAGGCCGAAGGCCACACAGAGAAAGCCTCCACAGCACCGACCACACGGCTGGAAGCCGACCGTCACTGGGGCGGAAGAACATCCAAGCTCTCCATGGCGCCCAACAGAGGGGTTGTGGCAACACAAGCCTGTTTGTTAAACCGGGCACTGCAAAAAATAAAGATTGGCAAAAAATAAATAAAAATATTGTGAGAATAGTATTACAACCTCAATTTGTTTTTTATCTGGAATTGAAGCACTAAATAATAAAGAAAAGCGTGTACCTCCTAAAGATTTTTTTTGTGTTTGTTTGTTACAGTGGGTTTCTTGCAAGAAAGCAATGTCAATATGCTCTGTTATCAAAACGTTTGGAACTATGGATCTCTTTTGTGGGGAGTTTAATATCTGTACATTGAGTGATGCTGATCTAACCATTCTTTAATAAGGAACCCCGCCGATCCACCATGACCCTCAACGCGACAATACAAAGACATAATACAACAAAAACAACATGTATTTCCACCTATCCATAGAGATGTTAATGGAAAAAAACCCAGTCCACAAGGAAAAAGGAACTCAGCACCCTTTGCTGGTTCCATCCAAATGAAATTTAAATAACCCAATTTCGTCATACCGTCATTTATAGTGACGTTCAGAGGGAGATGGGGGAGCATTCTTACTGCATAAAATTTGAGACCTATTTAACATGTTTGTCTCTACCAATTTTGTCTAAATCTTGTCTTAAGCTCTTAATTATATTTCTTTAACCCAGATTAAATTTGAGCATAGGAAAAAAAAAAAATCCAAATAATTTCATTAATTAAATGCTTAAAGGGACTATAGTCACCCAAACCACTTTAGCTCAATGAAGTGGTCTGGGAGCCAGGCCCCTCTAGGGTTAACCCTGCCTGCTGTAAACATAGCAGTTTCAGAGAAACTGCTATGTTTACATTTGGAGTTAAGCCAGCCTTTAGTGGCTGTTTTCCGGACAGCCACTAGAGACGCATCTGCGATGCTGGAGGCATTTAATGCCTGCATCACGCAGAGCGTCCATAGGAAAGCATTGAAAAATGGCAAAAATCCATGCACCAGCCCTGTGTTCAACACAAACATTTGCAATATTTCTTTGCAGAGAATTGTTTTATAATTGAAGTCAAGGTCAAGATATGTACTAGCAACAGGAAAATCGCACTTACAGATAACAGCTGACACTGAAGTGATTAGTCCACCTAGACATTTTAATAAACAGGGTTTGAAAGTTCTAAATAAAATTTCCCAGAATAATATACTGAAAAGTTGGCAAGCCTATGCGGCTCCTATGTGCATGCAGACATCCGAAGTCTCCCAGAAGTTCGGGAGTCTCTTGCATTTTGAATGTGGCTCCCTGACACCCGCAAGTCATATAGAATATCCCAGAAATCACACACATAATCTGACATACAGTGTATGTCAGAATGTGTGTTTGTGATTTCCAGGCTATTATATATGATTTGCTTCCCTTGATAATATTTGCCAAACAGGGGCACGACAGGATGCCACTGCCCTTCAAGAGCCGACTAGGCCCCTTGTAATATCAGCCGGCAGGGAGGAAGTAACAGCATGCCTGTGTGTATGTGCCAGTGCATGTATCTGTGTATTAAGGGGTTCATCACATCGTCGGTGTGTGTATCTGTGTGTCAGTGTGTATCTGATTGTGTGTGTATGAGCCAGTGTGTGTATATGAATGTGTTCGTGTTCGTGTGTGTGTGTGTATATCTGTGTGTATCTGTGTGTCAGTGTGTATCTGAGGGTATGTGTATGTGCCAGTGTGTATATCTGAGTGTGTGTGTGTGTGTGTGTATGTATCTGTGTGTATCTCTCAGTGTGTATATTTAAGAGTATGTGCCAGTATGTGTATCTGAGAGTTTCTTTCAGTGTGTGCACCTGAGTGTGTGTCAGTGTGTGTTTATACACGTTTGGTGTTCATACATCAAAGATCTCCATCACCAGCCCACAGGCAGGGAGGGAGGCAGGTACTCCTGCTCTGCAGGCTAGAGTTCACTCACACTAGAACCACCAGGGATCAGGGATGGCTGCAAGGATCCCCCCACCTAGGCAAAAGGTAAGAAGGGAGGGGGGCTATTTCCTAATCCCTCCAAACAAATTCACACACACAGCACCCTTACACACAGCACACTACCAGCACCCCCCCACACACACAGCACCCTTACACACACACGCACCAACCTCACACAGCACACACACACACAGCACACTACCAGCACACACAGCACCCTCTCACACACACACACACACACACATGCACAGCACCCTCACACACATAGCAGTGTATTTATGTGTGTGTGTATATATACACAGTACATCACCATACCTTCCTATCACGCAGGGAGAAAGGGGTAGTGGTCCTTGGGACCAATGCATCATTTATTATTCTGGAAGGGTAAACACATTGGGCCCTCAATGTTTCGTGCAGGAGCAATCACGGTTCATAAAAGGGTTTTGGTTTTTCATTATACATTTTATTATGTTTCAATCGGTGCTGAAGCAGAATGCCATGCTTTGTCTTTTCATTGAACACCTCCTAATGTTGGAAAGTATGGAAGCAGGATGAGCACTAAGCTGAAAGGGGTGTTTGCAGTGGGCAAACACTGCTAAAGAGAGGTGTTCTAGTCAGACTGGCAGCCATGCTGACCAGCCACACTCAGAGTTATAAATGTACAGAGTGCTTTTAAAGTGCCACTATGTGATTATGGTGCCTTGGCACCCTTCCTTGCAAGACGTCAAACCATTTTAGAGTGGGGATGCCATTCCCTACCTCCTCTGAGCTACTCAGAGCACCAGGTACCCCTGCTCTGGAGCTTCTCTGCAGTGCAGGGCAAACTGATTGGCTCAGATAATCAGCCGGTTACTCTAAGCCAAAAAGCTAAGCCTGATTGCGATCTAAGCTGTACCTCTGGGATACGCTCAGACTGAGAGAAATTATTTAAGTAAGTGAGAGGCACATGGTTAACCCCGGTATTAAGTAAAACAATCTGTATGGAGTGAGTGGTGTATGATACTGATGAAACAGATGTGGCAAATTATTCTATTGGCTTCCAGACTTCCAGAGAAACTGATATGATAATAAACTATAAATATACAGCAATCCTACTACATACACACAGGTCATTCACGCATTTTCTTTTTTCCAGTATTAAGCCTTCGTTTTCCTACCTGTTTGCACTAAGCCCTGCTGAGAAGACATAACAGGCCTGCTGCAGAGATTCACATCACTGTGTAATCGTACTGTTATTGGGTTACTGTTTGTGAATTGTGATGTCAGCATATGATGTCATCACCACTAGGGGCAGTTGTTCCAGTTTGCAACATGGTTTTCAAATGTATGCTGTAAGTAGATTGTGATGTCAGGATATGATGTCATTGTTCATGGAATCTTCAGTTTCTTAGCAACACGCAGGGAAGTCTCTAAGTTATCTACACTAACAATAACTGAGGCAACAAACACCAGAACAGAAAAGGACAGGCAAAGAGCAAGATAGTCTTTCTATAAAACTGATTAGACCCAGAAATGGAGAAAGACTATCTGGGTGCTAACTCCTCCAGTCTTGTATAAGCAAAGCCCTTTGTATACAAATGCAAATGATCTACTTTTTCAAAAAAACTCTACGGCCTAAGGTCAAAAATTAGAAGGCCCCAATCATTATAGCTTGTGCTGCTACCATAAAGACAGCACAGCCCTGCACTTGACGTCTATATGGAGAGTCCCTAATGGGTCTGTTTCCAAGGTCAAGGTGTGACAGAACCATCTGTCTGCTTGTATTTTAATTACATTCGTCTGTTTGTCTCCCGTTCGTATGAATGGCTGGTTTCTATAGCCCAGCCATTCGAATGACTCTTTTTCCCGAACAAACCTGCCGAATGGACGGCCACCCAGGAGAGAAGTGTGCTGCTGGTTAACCTATTGATCCCAATTAGAACGTTGTGGTTAACCGCAGACACTTCTCAATTAAACCGAATTCAGGGTGGTCGTCGTTCGTATGTCGACCACGAGGCAGCGGCCATTTTAAACCAAGCGAAAGCCCAGCGGTGTTTGGCTCTATTTCTATGGAACTAAAAACGGACACTTTTTCTGCCGAACACCGCTGAAACAACGGAACGCCTGGCTGCCTCCAAGAAACCATACGAACACCGGCCGTTCGGGAGTTTTGGAGCATACGAAAAGACTTAACCCAGATAGCCTTCCCATGGAGTCATTCGTATACCGAAAGACTGTAAGAACTTTGACTCCATGGCGATTGAACTATGTGTGTGGGATCTGAGCGCTATTCGCCAATAATATGCACTCAGATCCAGGCTATCTGGGGATATGTGATACGAATGGGAAATGTTCGGTTATTTTAAAGTTATGTATTTTTATGTCTTTTATGATTTTATATTTAAAATGGCGACTGGCTTTGTCCTGGAGTTAATTGAGTTACTTGGTAATTAACTCCAGGGCAGAGGGGAGGGAATCATAATGCACTGTGGGTAAAATCTGTAACTGTGTGTCTGGAATGTCCCCATATCTGTCTGTCATTTAAGTCTCCCATTTGGTCCCCTAGGGGAGTGTCCACCAAGTGGGAGACCTGCATAAATACGGGCAGGTAGCCCACAGTAAAGCCAGATCCTGTTTGACCCTCAATGCGGAGCTTCTGTCTCGTTATTGGGGGGATTTCTTCTTCACGTTTAGAGACTGCTGGATGGAACGGAAGCCGCTTGGTGAATATTGTTGTTCGGCGGTTAGCAGCAGTTTGTATATTGCCGTTCGGGAGTTTGGAGCCGTTCACGGATCTCGGTCGGGAGATTGCCGCTTCCCCTGCATTTGGTTCGTATACTACAGATTAAGCGAACAGAGACGGTTACTGCAGCCGGGGAAGGTCTACTAAACGCGGGTTTTGCCTAAAGACACTAGAGGTGTCTTAACACAAGGCTATATTAAAAGCCTAGAGATTAAAAAAAAAAAAAAAAGAAACAGGAAAAACCTATCATACATCTAAAAGATCCCTCTTTTTCCAATTAACTTCGCTGATAAAACTGGAACGTATGAAAGGTTTCCAGTTCCATATTAGCATAAACCCTGTTATTTTAAAACTCCTTCTACATTAAATAGCCCATTCTACTGTATTTTAGCTGTTTTGCTGAATTATCAGAATTGGGATTACCATTAGCTGAAGAAGGTAGATGGTGGAGCCCACAAATGAAAGCTTCATGTAAGTATATTTCCCTCCTGCTTCACGCCACCATACATTCTAGTGGTTATACCTGTATAACTTTGGAATTGTTTGCAAAATATACAAAGAGTGTAAAGAGCCCTGAAGACGATAGCAAATTTAAAAGTGTCAAAAGGCGAATGATAAATACAGGGCCGGAGTCTTAATACCTCTGTGAGTCTATTTAAAAAAAATATATATATTACTTCACAGAACAATATTATATGTGTTTGCGCACTAAATGATTACAAGGGAAATTACTGTTGAATGAAGACATAGTAAAAATGTACACATTGCTCTTGTGAGCACTTATCATTAAAGGACCACTATAGGCACCCAGACCACTTCAGCTTAATGAAGTGGTCTGGGTGCAAGGTCCACCTAGGTTTAACCCTTTCTGCTATAAACATAGCAGTGTTCGGTAGTTTTACCTGACTGTATTAAACCCCAGATAGGAATCCCATGGAGCTCATTCGTATGAGAACTAACTTTGTAAAGACTTTGGCTCCATGGAGATCAAACTGTATTCGTGTGGTCTGAGCACCATTCGCTTAATAATGTGCGCTCAGACCTGAGCTATCTGGGGACATGTTAAATGTATAGTTTTAATGTAATGTGTCTTACAGTGTATTTTAATAATAATTCTTGTGTTAGTATCCCCACGTGCATAATGGCGATTTACCTTTGTCCTGGGAGATAATTGAATTACTTCTCAATTATCTCCAGGGTAGAGGGGAGGAAGCCAGGATGCATTGTGGGAATACAATGTGACTGTGTGTCCCTTGTCACAGTCTCCCATTTGGTCTCCCAGGTGGGAGACCTGCATGAATACTGGGCAGGTAGCCGTCATTAAACAGACCACTGCTTGACCCTCAACATGGAGCCTTGTCTCGTCTTTGGGGGATTTACTGAACGCTGATAGAGACTGATTGCTAGGAGTGTAAGCTGCTTGGATGCTTTTCCTATTCGTCTGCTAGCAGCGATTCGTATGGTTCCAGTTCGTGAGTTTTGAGTGTTATATTGTATGCCGTTCGGGAGTTTGGAGCATTCCCTTACATGCGGTTCGTGTGTTTGGTGTTCTACAGTAGCTCTGCCTGCATCACTGAAAGGGGACGATCGCCTAAACGATTTTAACCCCTTATATGCTGAAACGGTCCGTTACATGGTCCTTTAAGGAGTTAATTATTTTTATCACAGACAGGTGCATTGGTCCAATCATTAAAATCGCAGGTGGTAATATACATGTAACAGTACACACAACAATACAATAAACATTCCCATCACAATCAGCCCAGTGACATCACAGTTACTAGAATTATAATGATTTCCCAGACTATCATGCTAACAAAATAGCTATGTTCTGTTGTATGCAGAATTCATTTGCTACAGCAAAAAAATCAACAACAACATTTTCTCGTGCAATGTATGAATCCAACATACTATAGGCTAGCTCTTTTTTCATTTACTTTTTCACATCATGTTAAAGTGAGAAAGTAAATCTCAGTTGCAGACAGTTGACTTTAATTACAGATTAGATTTGTATAATTTTCTTGTTAGCCTTTGTCTTCCTACCTGTTTTCCTTCAGCCCAACTGAGAACATATAACAGGACAATTCCTGAGGTCATATAAACATTCAAACCGGTGACTAGTTAATTACTTTGTGGATTGTGATGTCACCATTAAAGGGACACTCCAGGCACCCAGACCAGTTCTGCCCATTGGAGTGGTCTGGGTGCCAACTCCCACTACCCTTAACCCTGCAACTGTAAATATTGTAGTTTTCATAAACTGCAATAATTACCTTACAGGGTTAACTCCTCCACTAGTGGCTGTCTAGGCTGTCTACTAGACAGCCACTAGAGGTCACTTCCTGGTTTATAGCACAGGTTATAGCACAGGACGCTACGTGAGGACCTCCAGCGTTGCTAAAATCCCCATAGGAAAGCATTTTTAATGCTTTCCTATAGAGAGGTCTAATGCACATGCGCAATCGGTCTCCCCCGCTGGATGATGTAGGCGGGGGAGGAGCGTGGGCGGACCCTAAACCAGCGCTGGGGGAAATCGGCGCTGGTCTCAGGTAAGTCACTGAAGGGGTTCTAACTCCTTCAGCAACAAGGGATGGGGGTGGGAGGGAGAGAGACCTGCAGTGCCAGGAAAACGATTTTTTTCATGGCACTGGAGTGTCCCTTTAAGGGACGATTCCCAGCATACAACATGGTTATATATAAATGTAGCTGGCACAATTTTGCTTTTGTATTTAATCTCACGTGTAAATACCAGCTAAATTTAATCAGTATAACTTTGCAATGAACAGAGACCTGGACCATTATAACACCATTAATAATGACAAACATTAGACAGACCTAGTGCTTTAATGATGCAGGGTATAGCAGGGCCCATACGGTAATAAGTGCAGTGAGAATAGTAGGGTTAGGGTTAGATCGGTTTAGAATTTGCCTGGCTGAGAGTTATAGAAATTATAGTTCCCATCATCGGGAAGGCAAGTAACCTTAACCATAATTTCATCCTAACCCTAAACCACCTCTAATTCTAATCCCCAACTAATAATTCTATTCCTTGTTACACTACAAAACCACAAAATGTAGGGCTAACAGAAATAAAAAATAATAATTGGAAGTTTATTCATGTAATAAAAAATAGTAAAACCAAATTCCTCTGTACACTTTCTACATTTTATGATTTTGTCGAATTGCTGTGGCTACACACCCATCGTTAGATGAGCTGCTTTTTATGTACAAAAGCTTCCCCATCTCTACTCTGAGTTCCTCAACACGGCTAGTGGTAGGGTCTTTAAGTAATGAGGAAAACATACACACAAACATTTTCCATCACAACTGAATCAGGTGGCACCAGAATCTCCATGTTTTCCTGGCATTTTTTGAAGCTGATGGGCAGTAAATAAATAGCTCTGTCATTTGGTAACTATCCTGCATATTGAATACCAGCTCTTAGCATGCACACAGACAGCTCAGTCCTATTACAATCAGACCCATGATGTATTATTACATATATATCAGGCCTACAATATATTAAACTACCGGCCAACGTCTACCTACCTATTTGCCGTCAGTGTTGCTCAGAAGATACAACTGCTCCAGCGGTGCACAGTCATAAACATGTAACTGTGGTCACTTAGTTACTGTGTGTGAGTTGTGAGGTCATTCCATGATGTCATAGTTCATGGAAGTTTTCTGGGCTACATGGTATCTGTAATGGAATGGATGCTCTAGCTACACTTTTATTCCCTTTTGTTAGGCTGTCCATACAGCCAGGGGATAGATTCATCAGTGTTCGTGCGAGAACCCTCGAAAGATGACCGGTCATTGCCTTGTTTTCTCTGGAACTGTTTTGAGGCAAAGAGATCTGAGTGATATTTCGTCAAAGTGTGCGCTCAGATCCAAGCTGTTCGGTGATATGACTTTCGTAGGGTTCTGAAGTATTAAAATAAATTTTTAGGGTGTTTTAAAATATTGTAGATTTTTTCTGTACCTGAGAAATAATTGTTATATATTTCTCTAACGCAATTATCTCTCAGGCACGAAGGATCTTGGTAGGAAAAGCCCTGTATTTTTGTATCAGAGACCCCATGTAGGGGTCTGTGCATAAAAGCCGTGTGTGGTCAAAATAAAATCAGTTGACTCCTACAACTATGTGTCGTCTAGTTGCTGGGGGGGCAAAGGACTTGGATTGTTATACTGTTTCTTTTAGCTACTAGGACTGAACAGCTGAGATACCTATGCTAGGTATTGGAGCTCCACTACAGTGTCCATGTATATGCTATAAATGGATTATATGGTCAGCCTGTGATGTAAAAGTTCAGATTATTTGCCAACATGAGCTTTTACATACAAACACATATTATTTTATTTAGCCTCTTTTCAGTGGGATTATGGGTATTTAAGGTTTACCTGGCTAAGAATCAATAGAGTTACAGTCAAGAGCATTATGAAGGTAGGTACACCGTCACCTACCCATAATTCCCCCTAGCGCAAAGTTCATAACCTTAGATTACCCTAATTCTAAATGCTAAACACATTCCAGATATTTAAAAGGATGCACAAAATTTAAAGGAAATATTTTTATGCTTAACGAATATTTTTAATGCTTAA